CAGGGCAGCCATTGACAGGGCTGGGAGAGCGGGTAGGGGAAGGGGCCTGTTTGATTTGGAGATTTGGCCTATTTGGCGGTGGCTAAATCTCCAAATCAGATTTGGATGAATTGATTCGGGACAGTGATTTGAATCTCCATATCAAATTGCTGTCCCTCGAATCGTCTGAGTCCGAATCCGAAGTGAATACTACCAGCTTTGCACAAGCCTAATATACATACATTTTTGAGTGCTGAAAATTATGACTTTCCCCCGCATAATTGTCAAAACTTTCAGCTTATTTATAACTATTTCAACATTGTTAGTCACATGTTGTCAGTATGAAGATCTGCAGAACATTAAGAAATCTAGGGCATTAAAACTGAGTTAAAACGTAATCACCTCTACACTTGTACTTAAAAGGATTGGTGTTTCCAACATGTAAAGCACAGTGAGTTTGATAAAATATCATTTTAGAGACATGTTTCATATTGGTGTTTCAAGTGCCATGTTAAGGGTATCATTAAGTAAACGTGTTTGTTTAAGTGTAGAAATATGACGTACACAGATGTATGTATATATAATGAATATTGTTCATATTATCATGTTATTAAAACATTTATACACAATTCATATAATTTAATCATTTTTATATTATAGCAGGTCACAAGTGTAAGATGAATGATGGGTTAGAGGGTCCCACCCAAAAAATTGTTCAAGAAGCCAGGGAACAAAGAATTGTATATACTGGAGTTGCACCATATGATCCAGCCAAAGATCCAACAAAGCAATTGGGCAAAAGATATCCGAAGGTATGAAATCTTCACTTTATTTACTTAAAATATACTTTTAAAAATTGTTTCCTTTTCTTTTTCACTGTTTTGCTTGAGGAATTGTGCTAGGGTTTCTCATTTTTCTTCTCATGTTTTTACGATGTGTTAATTTCACTTGAGTTTTGTTTTCACTTTAATATAAATTAAAATGTTATAGCCATTTTACCAGTCTAAGATTTAGAGTCACAACTGGGACTATGTAATGATTTTTTTTGAAATCCAAGTGAAAAATCCAATACCTAAAATCTTTTAAGGCTCTGAAATTGCTACATGAGTTTACTGTGACTTAGGGCCCTGCCATGGGATCTGGGGCAATAATTATACCTCATGCCATGCAACATGTGCATGCTAATGTGCAAGGCAGGAGGTATGATTTTGAATCAGGGCTCAAATCATAGTCATTTTCTTTTTACCTGCCAGTGCAGGAGAGCCAAAGCTCATGATCTCAGGCTTCCCTGCACTTGCAAGCTGGGTGTCAACAGCCCAGTGTGACTTGGTATAGCCCCAGGGTGGGGCTGATTTCCTCAGCTTTCCTGCTCTCCCGCTGGCTCCAGACAACAAGTAGGGCGGGAGCAGGGGTGAGAGTGGGATGGAGCTCCAGCTGGGTGGGAGCATGGAGCTGGGGCTGGCAGCAGTACGGAGCCCATACCCTCAACATATTACACATAAATTGTGGCATATATGTAATATGCTGAGGGGCACTAAGTGAGAGCTGAAAATTCCTCCTTGACTTTCTTGGGAAAATACTTTTTTTGCCTTTAAAAAAAATAAAATACTGTTTCCTCTCTGAGCGTGCTCAGTGTGGTTCCCTCTCTCTCTCTGCCAAGGCATCTCTTCTATGCCTACTGTAACCAGGTTGTCTCCAGGGGTGGTTGTAAAGCCCCTGGAGTCCTTTCAACCCTTGGCTGCTCCACTGCTTTGGGCAGTCACCCCTTCTCTTCCTGCCACCCCTTGATGTAATCTATGTTTATATAACGGAGGCTGCCCCAGGGCTTCCTGGACCTGGTCTCATGACCACCAGGTGTCTGTAGTCATTGCCTTAAGGCAGGGACAGGAAGAATGCGGCCTGCAAGCCAAATCCAGCCAACCAAGCCATTCTATCTTGCCTGCAGGGTCCCTCCAAAAAAGAATTATTACCCACCAACAGCTGCCCCTCTGAAAGCTGGTAGGAGGTGGGCTTTTAGAGGCATCACACCATTGGACTGGGCAGGCTCTTTATGGTTTCCCATGTCTTTCGCCTGTGCATCGAGGTTGTGTGGATTTTTCTGGCTTTGCCGTAGCTTTAAGGAAGGAACAAGATTGTTAATGTACTGGACCTTGGTCAGCACCTCGGGGGGGTCTCTTCTGCCACGTCTTTTCTGGAAAATTAATATTAATGGGGAGGAAGATGGTCTATCCCATCCCTCCCGGTACCTTCCTTCGGTCGTTCCAGTTGTCCTTCCTGCTCAGGGCTCCGCTTTCCCTACACCCCACCAAACGCCAACCAGAGATGTTGTCTGGGCCGCCAGCATTGATCTTAAGCATGCTTTGTATTCTTTGCCCTTTTCATTTATTACGGAGGGATTAGGATGTTATTTGACCCAATTATCCCCAGCCATGCATTGCCTTACTTATGTGTCTCATTGGTGTCAGATTTTCGTGTTCCCTGGTATCTCACCCTCGATCTGAGTTTTATGCCTGCCATGGGTTTTTTGTTTGTTAGTCCTTTCTCTGTCTGGTCCTGCCAGGATCCAGTCTGTGCTGTGGATCTCTGAGATCCACAGAGTCTCCTCTGGTAAATTATAGAGCCATCACTGGCTCTGACTCTTCAAGCAAATCCCACCTTGGGATACCCACTACATCCCTGGGCTGGGACTCTGTTCAGTATCTGGCCCCTCTGGGCTGGTTGGGGACCTCACGTCTGGGTCCTCCTGCATATTCCCTGCTGGTTCTTTTATTTCTGCTTTGGGGTTCCAGGCAGCGAATCGGCCCTGGCACGCTGTTATAAAGCATTCCCACGCCAACATGAGAGCTGATCCTGGCTTCTTCCTCCTCAGCAGTTTTTTTTTTTTCTTTTCTTCCTTTTGTTGCGGCAGCTGGGAATGCCGCGGTTTTACTTTCACTTTCCAGTGTGGTGTCCTCGGCTCCTCTTCTCATCTGACGGGGGGAAGTCTTTTCCACACTTTGGCCTCCACCACTGTGGGGCTCCCATCGCTGCAGGTGGGAGCCATGCGCCACTGGGTCAGGTTGGGCTAGGCCAGCTCTGTCTCCACATGGCTCTTCCAGCACTCCAGCAGGAAGCTGCACCTGGCATCATTGAGTCCACCCAACCCAATGGCACTCAACTCCCTTTGGCTTCCAGTTCGCATGCCATCAGGCCGAGTGGGCTCCATGCCTCCCTGTGTGGCTCCCAGCACTGTAGCTGGGAGCATATGCTGTCAGGCTAGGCTTGACTGGCTCCAAGCCAACATGTGGGGCTCCTGGCATTGCAGCTTGGAGTGTGCACTACTGGGCTGGGCTGGGCTGAGCTGGTTCTGTGCCTCCACATGCCGCTGTCTGCTGGAGTGCTGGAAACCCCATGTGGAGGCATGAAGCCAGCCTTGCCAGGTCTGGCTTGGCATGAGGCATGCAGCTCCTGCCTGCAGTGCCAGGAGCTCCACGTACTGGCATGGAGGCGGCCTGATCTGGCCTGATGGTGCACGCCTGTGGGTTAGGCCAGGCTCACTCAATGCAAGCACATTCAGCTCCTGGAACTTAGCCAGAGCTACACGCCACGGGGGGGCTCTGCCTGCCACAGGCCATGAGCACCCCAGGAGCCTGTTGCCTGCTGCTGCTGGTGATGAAGGCTGTGCACCATAGTGGGGGTGGGGGTGTGGTGGGGAGGCCCACCCCCCATAAACCCCATACCCATGCTTCCCCATATATTCCCCCAACAAACCCCTCACACTCCTCCACAAACCCCACACTTATCCCCCCACACACCCCTTCACAAACGTCACACACACATCCCCCAACAAATCCCACACGCTCACACTCAGACACTCGACACAGAATATACAATAAGACTTTATTTTGAACTATTGTGCGATCACCTCTATATACACTAGGTAAACATATAAATCTGGACAAAAATATTTTTTGAAATAAAATTAAAATATATTA